GTGTTAATTTGGTTTAGTATTAGTTTGTGAAGTTTACGAAATGGTGTATGATTTCAGATATGCATAAGGTATATCCAACAGTAACGTGTATAAGAATCAATAAAATACACTAATGTTATAACCATAAAGAGTAGGTAGGGGAAAGGGACCCCAAACATCACAATGCAGTTCAAAGAATTTGTAAGACCTAGTACTAGTTACAAATGGTAAATTAAGACTTTTGTTGGACTGACATGCATTACATGGTTGGGTAGTAGATGGTATGTGAAGTTATGGATTTTGCATGGAGATGGCAGTAATAATTCTTGATTGTGGGTGACCCAATCTGTTGTGCCATGTGGAGGGGATGGCTGTGGCACAAGAGCTTGGGTGGCTGATTTTGCTGGAATGGAGTAAATCCCTTCTCTAATTCGTCCTGTAGGGGTTTCTGTTTAGTGGCAATGTCCCGAATACAGAAACCATGAGCATCAAAGGAAATACGACAATTGTTATTCTTGGTGAGTTGAAAAGCTAAGACTAGGTTGTGTATAGTGAGGGCACTCTGAGAAGTATAGATAGATTTTTCGGCTGGGAGTGGGGAGAATTCCCTTAACTGTGTGTGAGATGGGTACTGCTTGGCCATTTCCTACGAGCACTCGATCGGAGCTTGTATAGTGTGTTGACTGCTGTAGATTGTCCATATTGGGGATTAGATGTTTAGTTGCACCGGAGTCGAGTATTCAATCTTGGGAAGAGTTGGACGCGTTGGTGAGGAGGGCATTGGGCTGGTCAGATGGTGGAGTAGGTTTGTATTGCAAATTAACTCCGTGCCAATAGTTTGTGGTAGAAATCTTCGAGGTTGTTTGGGTTGAGATGAATTCTGATGGTGGTGTTGAAAGCTTGATAGATAAGAGGTAATCCATTGAGGATAAATAAGATCATATCCTCATTATCTATGGTTGATCCGGTTGCAGTAATCTTATCAACCAAGGTTTTGACTGTGGTTGGGACATGTTATTAGTAGCCATGGTAAGTTTGTGCAATTCATTCTGCAATTGAATTACTCTTGATCGATTGGATGATTGTACTTGTCTTTCAAGAGTGACTCAAATGGTGGATGTGGTATGTAGATAAGCAAATATGATAGGATGGTAGTATTATGATGGAGAAGTGGGCTGCGGCTAGATTTCAGTTAATGAGGTGACATAGGATGTGATCCGAATTCGTTTCCTGTATTTCAGAATCTAGGATTTTGGTTTTGGGCGGGTAGGGTATAGTCCCATCCAAGAAGGATTCAAAACCATTGGTACAAAATAGTTTCAAAATTTGTGTTTTTCAAACTGAGTAGTTATCAGTGGAAAGAGGGGAAATTGCTATGGTTTTGATGTGAGTCATAAGGACTTCACCTTAGAGACTTCTCTGAGTATTGGTTGGTTCGTGCTGATGATGAAGAGAATGAATCCATTAGATGAGGCAACTGATCTGCAGAGGGTTGGCTATATACCCTTTGGCTGTGATAACAAGTAGAAAGGGATGACACAGAGAAGATGAATGCAGTAGAGCATAAAGTATTCTGTATTTCATTCGTACTAAAAGAGTGATACATATGTAATATATATAGACACGGGCGAGACCACTAAGGAGAACAGAAAGGAGCTCCCACGGTTATTAATCATGCGGTTAGTTAGATAGTTGTGGCTGTGATAGATGGAGGTTGCGAGCAACCACAGTGCTCATGTGCAGGAGGTATGCTATTAATCATGACCCCTGTCATACAAATCCTCAGTAAGGATAAGTTCTCTCATACAAACTAATACAACCGAATCATTTAATCAGCCCTCATGACCTCCTCACATGTCCATAGGTTTCATGCCCTTGTCAAACATTTAAAAATCTCTTGTGAACTCTTGAATAGGTATAAGTGGAACTTTAGTCAAGTCAATAAACTTGTTATTTCTTTCAATGAAAACTAAATAATATCAAGCAATGTTATTAAACTTGTAATAAAAAATTATTTTCCACCATACAATCTCTAAACTATTGGAGACATCATTCATCTTACATCATGATGATCATACCATTAAAATTCATCAATAATAAGAGGACTTAAACATAAACAAGTTAAATAAATATAATTTATTCAAAACTATTCATCCATTCTAAAGCATAATCCTAACAATAATAACAAAACGACTAATGCTCTATCTCGACTCACTTGGTCACATCCTTCATTGAATCACACATAAGATGACTATATTATCTTGATTTACACCCCCCTTATCACGAACACCTGAACAAATCCCTTGATCTAACAAAACTCCTTCATATCCTTCATTGCTATCTCTATAAAAGAATTAAATGATATATCCCTAAATATTATGTTCGAGATTTCCTGATCATTGACCTACACTTTAAGGGTAGAGCGAGAAAAGAAGGGATAAAATCATCCATCAGGAAGATTCTTGTTCTTTAGATTTTTCATAAAGCTTCCAAAGCAAATAAGCAAAAAATTAGCAAGTATGTTGGCCTTCTTGCCCCCCCCTATCAATGTTGGAAAAGCTCTACATAGACCTTATCTTTCCAAAAAACCTCCATGAGGACATGACAATATTTTTGAAGTCGTCGATAGGTTTTCCAAAACGACATACTTTCCCTCTTCAAAACAAATAATAAGTCTCATAGAACAAGATTTTTCTTCAAAAATTATTATTAAATTACATATGTCACAATCAATCATAATTTCAGACAGCGATGCTAGATTTATCTTACTTTGAAAAACTCTTTGGAAAGATAAAATAAACTTTTCAACTACATTCCATGCCAAAAGACAAGTTTAGACAAAATTTGCAAACAAAACCTAAGGCAATTCAGTAAAATGTACTATTGCTACTTGAAACTTGCTTCTACCTCCAGTTAAGTATGCTTGTAGTAGCATTATATCTAAGATAACTCAAAAAGTACCTTTCAAAATTGGTTATGGTTATAACTCAAAAGAAATCAATTAATATGGTAGATATTCTCCATCATTCCTTTTCAAATGTGTTGCACTCATTTTAGCATAAAATTTTCACTATCAACAATAACAAATAGCAAATTCAATTGGGTTACAATAAATATGCACACACGGTAAATTCTAGGTACTCTTCAAAACAATATAAAAAAGGAATCATGTATTAACCCATATTCAAGCACTGCCCCACCAAATATGATAAGTTGCCACCAAATATGATAAGTTGGACTTTTGGAAATTCTTAAACTTGCACCTAATATTTATCTCCTTAATTTATATATGTCTTGCTTTTAATATTGAGAATACCTAGCCTTATCAGAGAATTATTAAGCCTCAAGGCTAGCAAGATAACCCTGTTAAAGAAACACTAAGCAAAATTCATAAGTATCTTACACTCCAAAGCTCCTGAAAATTGACAGTATTATTTCAGAAGTGCCCTCCCGAACAACAGACACATCACCCAACTTCATGGACAGTTAAAAAATCAAACCCTTCTAAAGACACTTAGGAAGATTAAAGCAAACCAATGCCTGACCCGGTGGATGCTTACATGTACTTTAATTCTATGGAGCGGAGCAATTTGAGGTCTAGAATTGGATGTAACACCAACACAAATGCCATGAATAATATCATAAAAAGGCATTGCACCAAGATTTGATTTCATCACCATGCATAATTCTCCAAGCAAGAGCATGGTTGGCCCATATTCCATCCATATTCAAATTGAAATAAATAGAAAGCTTCAATTTGAATCCCTTGATGCCATATATAGTGGGTCACAGAAAAAAGAAGGAGAAATATCAAAAAATTAAATGCTCTCAAAATCACTCCAACAAATTTTGCTTTGGTTGAATTCTCCTGATGGAAGCTTATAATTATGATTTATTTCTTCTTGTAATAGTTCATGGCAAAAAAAAAAAAAAAAAAAAAAAAAAAAAAAAAAAAAAAATTTTTAACACCCCAAAAAAATAATAGCATTTTAGCAACCCCAAAGAATTTACAAATTAGCCTCGGTCAATCAAAGGCTTACAAATCCCTATAAATATCCTAAATTTTGTACTTTTAATGATCACTGAATAAATTATATATTAATTCTGCAAATTTTGTATAGAAAACTTTAGTGGTGGTTCTAATCTTTGTTAAAGCTTATTATTTGATCCTCAAGGGCTTTGGTGGGTCATTAATTATCCCCTCCAACACTTTCTCCTCCACTCTCCAGTACAACTTCCCCTCCAACTAGCTAAGGCTCGATTACCCCGTAAACCCTAGCCTCATACAACATTAGGATCCAAGCCAAAATCCCAACACAAAGAGATAATTTCCTATTGTGACCACTCAGCTACCCATCACAAACTGGCTTAAATCCATAACTCTCTAAAGACATCTAAGCCAAAGTCCTAATGCAAGGGGATAATCTCCTATTGTTACCAGAAAATTTCAAAAAAATCACAACTCCTTAACCAAAAATCCTTAATTAGTTCCATAACAACCTAAATCTCTTATATAGAGTCCCTATCATTCTTCAAAAAAAAATTTACCTTCTCATACCGATCAAGCTCCAACTCCAAATCTATCCAAAACTTTAATCTTATATTTTGATCGCCTAAATAGCCGCTCCACCACCACCACCACAAGAGGAAGGAGAAATATCAAAAAATTATATGCTCTCAAAATCACTCCAACAAATTTTGGCTTGGTTGAATTCTCCTCATGGAAGCTTATAACTATGATTTCTTTCTCCCTGTAATAGTTCACGGAAAAAAAAAAAAATCTATGTATCTATGTAATAGCATTTTAGTGAACCCCAACGATTTTTCAAATTAGCCTCGGTCAATCAAAGGCTTGCAAAAACCTATAGATATCTTAAATTTTGTACTTTTAACCGTTCCATCACCAATCAAATTGTTCATTTCACTATAAAGATTCTCCAGACCTTTACAACAATCCAACAGCTCTAAGACAGCTGCAAGCTCCTCTCAGACTTATTTTTTAATTTTATACGAGCAACTCAGACAAGAAAAAAAATATTTGAAAAGATGCTCAATGGTCACAGAATAACAATTAGCATTGGTATATTTATACAGGTTTATCTGCCATTTGACACCCCTCAAATAACAGATAACTGAAAGGGTTAAAAAAGATGTACATTGCTGAATGAAGGAATGGCTGAAGAAAAGCTGGTACCTAATGAGCTCCAATTTTCTTTTATCCTCTGGACTTTTCTCACCATTTTTTCCTTCTTCCCTTCCCTCATTGATCATTTGTTAATTCCATTGCATTGGTGGATGAATCCGTTACTTAAAGTATCCTTCCGCTTAAGATTGACTCGTTTTATTCCCCATATACGAATTGTGTGATCATCGCTCCCAGATGCAAGCATGTGAGGGTTTGTTGGGTTCCAGCTAACACAGTTTACTGCACCAGAATGCCCAGGTAAGGCTTGGATGAGACTACCAGTTTTTCTATGCCAGATATAGACCTGTTTGTGAAATAACAGTAAGATTAAGAGTAAATATTCAATAAAAATAAACAGAGGATGGAGAAGAAAGACAAGGCATATAGTTTCAAAAATAGCTTGAATTTTTTGACTAACTCAGATCAATATCAAACCAAATTTACTAGATCTGAAAAAGGAATTTTGACAAATATCAACACTAAATGGGCTTCTCTGTTTAAATGAGCGGCATAGGCCAAAAAGTTTTGGATTTGAAGAATTCAAATCAAAGAGTGATATACAGAATAATCAAAGAGCAATTCAGCTGAAAGCAAGTAAAACAACGCTTTTCCAATTCAGCTTGGCAAATTTGAACTACACCACAAGACTACTGTTCTCCATGGACATTATTTACCCAGGAGGGAAACTAACATCTTTTTACCAAAAGATCATTTAATTAATAAAGAAAATTAAAAAGACCGATATCAATATAGAATGCCATTACGTCACATCAAATAGAACCATGATATACAAATAAAAAAGGTTACCAATTTTGTAATAGGATTTTCATACTAAAAAAGACTTTTAGATAATAACATTCAGCATGCTTGTTATACAGTTTTCACAAAATAAAGGGGGAAAAAAATCAATGGGACGTACCTGTGAATCTTCACTTCCGCTAGCAATGAAATACTCATCAAATCCCCCAAAACAAGACCGTATGACAAACCTGCTGCGTTTGTGACCTTCATACTTCATTACAAGCTTAGGAGTATCAGCTATGCTCCACAAATGAATCTCTTGGCTCAATATGTTCACCAGTAGGAACTTCTCGTCCTTTGACAAAGAGAATGAAGTGACTATTTGATCCTCTTCAATCAATTTCTCAATTCTCGTTTCCCTGTCAAGCAATAGTATTGTCATTTCCCTGCACATTGTTATGATATATCTGCCATCTTTCGTGACAGCCATATCAGAATTCTTCGTTGTCCGCTGCCCTTTCCAACATTCGACTTCGTTCCCCTCTAAATCCCACAACGAAATGCTTCTGTCTGTAACACCAGAGAAGAACTGCTTCCCATCTGGGGACCATACACAAGAGATTAAGCCTAGTCCGCATTTTTCATAAACACGCAAACATACTCCCAAGTGAACATCCCAACATCTGATGGCTTCTTCCATGCCACATGAGAGAAGAAAGCGGTTGTCAGGGCTCCAAGCGACTGTTACGACGGGCTTTTGGTGACCATTTAGAGTGTGCTTCAATAAAACTTCTGCATCATCATGGACCTGCAGTAATAAAAGCACCTTTAAACAGTTAAATCATGTAAATGCCCCCGTGGAAAATTAGAAAAAAACTGACAGATGCTCCATATCATACCACTTTGTAGAAATCTATTCTACTGCTGAGATTTTGAAATTTTAGCTATGGAATTCATTACAGGTATGCACAAAAAACAAAAGGTTTACATAATAGAATATATGATTGCTATAAAATGGTTTTTGTAAATTAATGAACAGGAACGAAATAATAGTGAAGTTTTCTTTTCTAAGAGAAGGGCGTACCAACTGAGTGAACCTCATCATTGACGGATCTGGAAAGAGAGGATATACAAAAATTTACCACTACATTGCAAGAAGTTGTTTCTGTAACTTAAAAATGATAAAACTCCAGTATACAATACATGCAACCAACGATTACACCAGGCCCAAACCCTAAGGATTTATGCCCTGCATTAAATTCTAGACAGAAGTGTCCCAAATTTGTCTCAAAGACAACTTAATCACTCTACTGGAAGTTTGGTAGAAAATTCCCATCTATCTTTAATAAAAAAAGATGTTATCATATGTTATCAAATAACTAATTAAAATTTTGGAAGTAACGCATCATTTAAAAAAACTGTCTTCATCTAAGTACCATTCTGCATTTTCTTCATTTTCTGCTCTCAGACATTAATTAGAGCAAAAGTACATAAAATTCTCCAAAAGTGGCAGATTATCCTTCAAATACGACAAATGTTTGAGACAATAATTTCTCAACCAATAATGATGATCACCTCAACTCAAATGAAATAAAAGGAACAGAATGGTGCCATAAGGTAGAGCAGAAACAGCACCAAAATAGATTTTGATAGAATACATGCAACTGTTCAAAACAACTATTTATTTTGCAGCATTGTTAAACAACCTTCTGTATAATTGATGCCAGAGAATTTCTGATTTCATTTTCAGGTGTAAAATCTCAAAACTAGTGTACTCTTGTTTACTCCTATACAAATTTAATTGGTGCTCCTCTGCTTAGTGTTCCAATTAATGGAGAAGCATAAAAATGCACACAGGAAATTTTGTGAAATATATAAGCAGTGAAATAGTATGAGAAAAATAACATGTTAAAAACTGTCAAAGCTAAAGTCAATAGGACTGAATGATGACAAAGCCAACCCCAAATCTATGCTTATTGGGAAACGAGCAGTAAAGAAGTTGTTTCACCCGACTTTGGTTTAGAAATCAAAGTTTAGAGGCATGAAATTGTGCTGGACATACCTTGATACATTATACTTGTTAAGTTCGCACCAAAATGCCCTACCATCCAAGCTTGGACAATAAAGAAAGTAATCAAAGCATCTAGCACAAAAACATCATGCATGGCATCGTCAAGTACTCCGAATAAGCATAATTTTAAAATACGTCTTAATCCATGCAGATTTAATATGAATTGTACAGAAAAAACTTCAACCGACGGGCAACAAACAAGGCAATATAATTCCACTGACAAAAAGATCAACTTTTCAGCACCAGCCATTCTACTGACAATGTAGATAAGTTTTGTCAACAAAATCATCAAAAGTTTGTGCCTTCTCATGCAAAAAAATAAAAAAAAATTAGGTAAGGATTTTCTGTTAAAATATTTAGTCAGAATGGGTCTCAAAATCCTCTGTTCTGCTTTGAAATTACTGACATATTAATAATCCATTTATAGCACTCATCTCAAAGCAAATCCAAGATTTTTTAAACCAATCCTAACCAACTTTTCCTTGAAATATATCGGTATAATATTTATTCAAATAATAGGTGGTTTATGTTTATTTCCTTAGTATTCAATGTTACATAACAAAATGTTCTACTAACACCTATGGTTCTGTTCCAATGTAATGTTCGAAGAGAAATTTAAAGAAGCGAGCAGAGAACTCAACTAGAGGGTAGCCAAAATGGCCCAAACATCCAGAGCAGCCTGAGGAAAATGCAGCATAGAGGTGGGCATCAAACATGCTCCAGTCCCACCTCTTCCAACATTCACCCCTTAAACATCTCATTCTCCACATAAGTAAGCTCATTTACTACCTTCCCACCGAGGCCATGCATGTCATTCAGCATATCACCCCCATATTAAGAAATATAGCTAAATTTGTTAGCAAGACCCACTGCACTGATTTGATGGAAGCATTGGAAAGGAATAAAATTCAAAGAAATATAATTTTATCTAATTATAATTTTAGATAATAGCAGATTCAGAAAGTTATTGAAATTTTTTTATTATGGATAGCAGTAAATCAAAATTTAAAACATATTTGATTTAAATTACACCTCCTTACACTACTATAAGCATATGAAGGTGAAGAGCAGCCATGCAGCTGAGTGTGAAAAGGAACAAGGCAGTGTATGTTGTTTCCCATGAAATATCACGATGTATGGCCAGTGAAAAGAAAAAACATGGAAGGAAGATCAAAACAGCCAATGGCGAACAAGAAGAATAAAAGAAGAAAAAAAAGAGAGAAATATAAGGAGAAAAAAAAAGAAACAATTGCGCTCCTCATTTCTTATAACCATGAAAAATCATCATGCAGAGCAAGCAAGATGCTGTTAGAACAAGTGTGTGCGGGCTTCAAAAATTTGCACCCCGGCCTCTCTCATAATCAGAGTTTTTGTATTATGTTTCGGGTAAAATTTTCAAAATACAGATTAGAATAACACATAAGATACTACTCAGAGATTTCGCCCTGATTTTGCGAGAACATGATCTAGTTCAAAGTTTCTTATAAGCACAAGACTATACGGTTAACTATCCCTCTCAATAACAAGATAACACTTTCTATTAAGGCTAGTTGTTAGGCACTGAATAATTAACATATAATAGTAGCATAAGCCCCTGTGATTATAATCACTTCATTTGTAGAGCCATTGACCCAAGCCACACGGATAGAGAACTCGGGCCCCTTCTTTATTGGCACTAGATAAATTTGAATAAGGAAAAAAATGCGCAATATGGTTGGCTTTAATATAAAGTAGTTGAAATGCATAGTGGTGTGATTAAGATAGTAAATGTAGGCATGTATGGTACTAGATCCCAAGAAGAATTCAAAAACATTAGGTTCTTTTACTCAAATAGGATTCAAATCCTAAAAAGATGTTGGTAGGCCCTAAAGTTAGCAAGGGTGCATTGATTGACATGAAAGCAAAGGCGGTTAATGAAGTGTGTATTACAAGTTATAACTTCAAGCAGAGTTGTTTCAATTTCATCATGTTGGAGCATCATGAAATGAGGGAAGAAGAAAAATGCTAGCTTCATGGTTATAATTTGAGTTATGAAACAAAAATTAACATGTCGAGGGAAGACCATTGAAGATGATCAAGTGGATCAATCTCCCTTCACACAACCCATCTTAGGGCCCGTTTGGGGTGGCTTATTGGTGTGTTTGTGTTCTTTAAAACGCGGTCGAGGCATTTGCTTCATGTGTTTTGCTTGCTTATCCACAAACGTCGTTCGTGTTTTATTATTTACGCGGCCATGGGCTCGACCCCACGGCCCGTGTTCTTACCTTCTGGAGTTACGTGCTTACTCTTCTCCTTCCTCGCTCGACCCCCGTTCTACCCTAGATCCCTCCTCGCTCACCTCTATCCCTCGAACGCTCCTATTTCGCTCGCTCGCCTCTTCCTCCTCCCTCCGACCCTGGTTACTATGATCTGTAAATAATTTCGATGGAATGTGCTTCTATATGTAATTTCTGGCATTTTATCGATGAAATGGTTTCTTTATATGGTTTTCCGATGAAATGGCTTTCTTTACGGGATTTTTCGATTTTTGGAGAGAAAGGGTGAAAGTGAAATGGGGTGAATGTGGTTGGTGAAAGTGAAATTTAGCTTGCTTCCTGCAGTTTCTGGTTTTTTGCTTGCTTATTGCTTATTATAGTTTGTGGTCTCTAGAAGGAATGAAATGGAATTTGATATATATGAGCTGGTTCAATTGCTTTCACTTTTTCGTTTATGGTTGTTTGCTCCATCTGGTTGAGTTGGGCCTATGTGTGTTGGTGTTGACATGAAGTGTGTGTGTATGATCATGAGTGTTGTGCGTCGTTGTTCGTGGGTGTGTGTGTGGTGGTTTGAGTATGTGTGGGTGTTGTGCTTGGTGGTTGTGGGTGTTGGTGTTGATTGTGGGTAGGTGTGGTTGGCCTTGGGTCTGTGGGTACTGACTGTGGGTGTGGGTGTGTGTGCGTGTGGGGGGGTCGTGGCTGTGAGTTTTGTGGTTGATGGCTATGGGTGTTGGTGGTGGTTGTGGGTGTGTGTGTGTGTGGTGGGGGGTGGTGGTTGTAGGTGTTGTGCTTGGTGGCTATGTGTGTTGGTGGTGGTTGTGAGAGTGTGTGTGGTTGTGTGTGGTTGGGCTTAGGTGTGTGTGAGTGGTTGGCTTTGGGTGTATGTGTGTTGTGGCCATGAGTGTGTGTGTGCTGACTGTGTGTGGGTGTTATGCTTGGTGGTTGTGGGTGTGTATGGTTGTCCTTGGGTCGGGGGGAGAGGTGGCTGTGAGCGCTATGGTTGGTGGCTATGGGTTTTGGTGATGGTTGTGTGTGTGTGTGTGTGTGTGTGTCTGTGTGTGGTGGGAGGTGGTGGTTGTGTGTGTTGGTGGTGGCTGTGAGTGTGTGTGGTTGTGAGTATTGTGTGTGGTGGGGCTTGGGTGCGTGTGTGGTTGATATTTTAGATATTATAAGTTTTATGCTGTTTGTAATTGCTTTTTTTTTTACTTTTTCGAATCCTTTTCATTTTTTGTGTGTGAGTTTGCAAGGTCCATGATGAGAGTTCGACCTTATGGGTTCTCTTGGATGACCTGTAAGTCGTTGTTGGTTGGTGTCACATGTGAAATCTCAATAAAGACAATCAATCTCCTCTGTTTTTTTCAATACCGTGGTTTTCGAGGTACTTTTGAATGGTTTTTTTTGTGATATGCATATGTAACACACACGGGTTTGACATTAAGTGAGCTAAAGACAACCAATAACTCTATTTTTTACAAGATTTAT